CGAGAGATTTTTCAGATCTGAATAATTTGAATAAGTGAGTGCACTTAATTTTTCCTCGCTGAGTTTTCTGAGTTTAATCTTTGCTAAGCCACTAAGAATTTATTATAAAAATATTTACCTTAATTTTTTTCTGAACTAAAGATATGTGGTGTGTCTTCATGCAAAGGGAAGAATTTATTACAACCTTCTGTATACAAAGGAGAATATTCATGACAGATGAGGGTTTGCAATTCAAACAGCTTCGGGGGGAAGATAACACAAGTTGTTTCTCTAGTGCCCACGGATAATACGGCTTAGGTGTTCTGCCTGATGCCAAGTACTGAGAACTTTCATTGGCAGAGAAGGAACTGCAGTAGGCATAGAACAGGATTGTTAGTCTAGTTTAAAGGTGGTACAGTTGGTCAAACGAACCCTGTTCTCATCTATCCTTGTGCAATAATTTTCCCAGCATTTGTCGAAAGCGAAGGCCTTCACATAGGAGGCATCTCACTCCGTTGGCTGGATTATCCAGTAGAGCAACGTTTCCCAACGGGCTTACAGAGAATTAGGAAATGGTAGAAAAAGCAGGGTTAGAGTTTGGCAAACGCACTTCTTTTAAGTTGAGACAGGGAGAAGCAGCTATCGTTACTGACTGCAAACGTTTATCCTCCTGAAGGAACTTTTAGCTGCTTATAACTGCTGGCGGTAGCGTTCCTCCATGATGGGGAAGTATTTATTCCTGCAGCCAGTACTTGCAGCCACTTTGTGCTTCCCCTATTCCAGAGGAACCGCAATGCTGGCAGCACAGTGCATAGCATTAGGGCAAATAAGCATTTAGAGAGATAAGCTAAGAAGGCGATTCATTTTCAAAAAGTCTGCGAAAGCGTGCAGTACACCATGTCTGCTAACTTACAGAAACCTGCGAACCTGTGAAACAGCCAAATTACAGAAGTCCCTAATAGTCGGCAAGATGACCAACTAGCATCTAAACTTGTAGCTCAGTTCAAGGGGCGTGCGGATGAAGCGGGAATAAGATTGGGTGTCAGTCTAAGCTTCTGGAACAATTTAAAAACACTACATAGAATTTATTTCTTAACTAGTGGAGAAACTGTGTAGCGGGAAAGACCCGCTGGCAGGTGTGATGCTTAGCTGAGTTTAGTCTAGCTGCAATAACGTAGTCTACCATAAATCTGGCCCTTGGGATTTGAGGACGATGGTTAATTAGTGGTGGAGCAAAATAAGATCTGCAGTGAAACAAAAGTGAAAGCATTAAAAAATGATCTTTTAAACTGAAGTTATAGCTAGGTCAACTATTTTACAACTACTCCTAATTTAATAATGCTGGACTTTTTTTCTCTTGCAAAAATAGAGCTCCATGTAATTTTTTTGTTTTCTATGCAACTCTTACTTTTATGGAAGGCTTTCTCTTTTTCTGATCCATATACTGGATAGTATTTTCATTGCATAGTCATGTAAGGAAGCATTATCACAGTAGGCATGAACAGAGAATGCAGTTTAAAGAAACTTCTTAACTCACCATTGTTTGTTTGCTTTTCATTCAGTATGAAACTGTTAACCTTTAAAAAAACACAACCAAGAATATGGCTAAATATTTATTATCATAATCTCATATTTCACATATTTGCAAGTTCAGTACTGAAATACTATCTAATGCAATGCCTCAGCCAAAGTGGATGTGGCAGACGTTTTGTTTCTTTTTTATTTGATGTCTTTTTCCCCATTGACATTTATGGATGATATGAATCTGAAATAAGACATGCAAAAACAAAAGTATGGATATTTTATCCTTTTTCATTTTACCATTAATAGTTTGAAATTATTATACTAATATGTGAAGCCTTCTCTTTTCACTATCCGGAGAAAAAAAAAAGGCTAAGTGTATACATGCCACACATTTAAATAAGAAACCAGCGTCTACAGTGGCAAAATCTAATTTCACAGAAGTCAAGAAAGACTTCCCCTTGATGTCAGTAGGGCCAGAATTTCACCTTGCAATTAAGGGCTCTATTCAAAAGGATCTATTTCAGAATTTGTAATGACGCTTCTGGTTTATTAGCATGCACACACCAACTGCCACGTTCCTGGCTGAACTTCAGGGCTATCCCGGCTTTCAGTTTTTAAACGCCACTCTTAAGAGCTCTTGAGCAAACTGCTACAACTGGTTGGCATTAGAAGGAAATGAAAATCTTTTAAGCGGCTATTGTGCATGTCATCTGTATGCACTGGATGACATTTCAACACTAGGCAATGCCTTCTCCCCACTACAATCATCAAGAGTGGTTTGGGTTTTTTTCCTCCCTCATATGGGCACTGAGGTTTCCAACAGCATTGATCGCTCTGCACATTTTTCTGTATGTTGTACAAACCTGTTTGAACATATTTCCGCAAACAGAAAGGCTTAAATATGCAACAGCGTCTTAGCAGCTTGCAGGACTGAGCCCTTGACGTGATCATCTGATTATTTATGAAGCAACTCTCAGATCAATGAATGATGTCACAGTTATCACTTTGAAGTTAATAGCAAAATTTGCATTGGCTTAAATCTGAACAGGATCAAGGCATGCAGCATCAGACTGACATCTCATAATTAATTTCCATTTTTCTCTTTAAATGCTCATGTCTCACTCTGTGACACTTTTTCCTGAGACAAGAGAAAAGAGTAAACGCTGGTAACTGATGCTTTCACCAGCAGCGGTTGTCATGCTTAACAAATTGTTCTAGTATATTAGTTTATACGGGCATCCTGTCCTTGATCAGCTCCCACATTTCCTATAGACAGCAGCAGGAGCTGCACACAAAGAAAGATGAAATAAATGACCCAAATGGAAATATAATATTCCATTTTGCAAATGGAAATATAATATTCCATGTGCAGACAAAAGGCCTGATTCAAAGGAGTACGGCAGCACCTCTAGCAAAGTAATTCCTATAGACTTCAATGGAAGCTACAGAGAGCCCATATTTCTTTGCTTCTTTTAATTTAAACTGTAATATATTCTGATATAAAATGATCTGGGATATATAAAGGCCATATTGGAAGCACAGTCTCTTATCTCTCAACCTAACAGGAAATGAGAGACAGTAACAGAATTTTAACCAGTTTCTCACTTGCGATGAGTACCCAATACCCAATGAAGAAAACTTCCTTTCAAAATCTTTTCATTCCAAGTCTGCTCAACAGAGAATCGCAACGTCTGTGTGTGAACAATGTTCATTTGTATTCTTAAGTGAGCTTGTTTTATTTTGCCATTTACTAAATGCCGGCGTAGAAATTCCTAAAGCAACGTGACTCTCACAACAAACACAACTGACAGACCCTAGCTGGAGAGCACATGCAAGCACAGACTGCAATTGTTCTGTGGTTATCTGAGAGACAGTGGTCAGGGAAATAGGGGTCATTAATTTCTCTGCATATTTTAAACATTTCCAGAGATGTGCTAAAACGTATTAAAAGCACAGCAGCAGCCGCCATCTAAAGGGGAAACTTTGGAAAAGGGTTAGAAGGGGGTTTCTGTGCGGCGGTGAGAACGGATAGTTCGGTTTTGTCCTCTACGTCGCAGAATTTATATTACACTTCTAACTGTTGCTTTTGCAAAATATTGCCAGAATCATTTCCCCCAAAAATAAAAAAATTCAGCTAACTCAGAAATCCGGCTAACAGCTTTGGGTTGCAGCTGGCAGTCACGGCAGCCCCCAAGGCTGAGGTGACCAGGAGCAAAGACGACCCCCAGTGAGCAGCTGGCACTGCCACCGGAGGGAAAACCAGGCGGTGCGTTTTAGTCCCTCTCCTTTACCCAAAGGCTTCCTAGAGAAAACAAAAAACAAAAAAAAAAAACAAAACAAAGAAAATAAAGAAGCAAAAAGCGACCAGTAGGGTTTCTTTACTTAGGAGAACGGCCCGGCG